ATGAGAAAAATCTACCTTCTGTGAACAGGTTTGCCGCGTCGACAAACCCAAACACGGCGAGCAGCTCCGGGGTAACCAGCGCTTCTAGATCTACTAAATTTTCGCGCCTCGCGTGCTCTAGCAGCCGGTTTTTGCGGTCTGTGTCCCGTGGCAGCAGCTGGGGATAATTTACATGCGCGTTTGGTGTATGCCAGTCCGACAGACGGGCAGCGAGGTCGTTGCTTACCCTCTCTGTTCGCATGTCGCGAACGAAAATGAATTGCCTTTTCCACCGCGCCACTTTATTCCTCACGTTCTTGAAGAGCTGGCTCTTATCCCTCCCAGAGAGGTAGTACCATCTCGCCCCTCCTGAGTTTGGACACAGCCGGCACTAGAACAGCGACCTGAACACTATCGCCTTGGCCGGTACCTCCAGTCTTGCACACAACAGCATAAAGCCCACGATGAACCTTATGCTATTGGGCGTCAGCTGCGTCAGAGCCAGCTGGTAGTCGGCCAGCAGGTCGAACACCAGCCCGGGCAGTGGAAATCGCAGACCAGCGTCAAAATGATCTGCATATACAGGTATCCAGCCCGTCCGCCACACCGAGCAAGCCCTCTCGTTCTGCCCGCCAGTTCGCACCAATATAGTCCTCGGGATGTGGTACTCCTGTATCATCTCCTCCAGCCTTCTGTACCCACTTATTGAGGGCGCGCAGTTCGCTACTTCGTGATGAAGCGCCGCCCTGAATTTAAACCTGGCTGGCAGATCCTTGGGAGCTTTGCGTATGTTGCTCAGTCTGCTCGGGAGTACCCTATCCTCCCATTCCCCAGCCACAGGCAGACCCTGTTCGATACCACCCACGTTCTCCGGTTCTGGCTCATGATTCCCAGAGGACGAGCTGCTAGACGGTGAATCGCGGTGGCCGTTGCCATTATCTCCGGCGTTTGAACTGGCGCTGCTCTCTAACGTTAGGGTCTCCGGCAAATCCTGCAACTCCGGTGGTACTATCATCGCGATGGGTTCCGCGGCAATCACCACCTCTTCTTCTTCCCTACTCTGGTTACCCCGTAGCTCTCTCAGTTCTCTAGAGAAATCCATTTTTACCTTTTGAATGATGGTGGATGCTGTGCACAGTGATGACCTTATACTCTGTTCTTCAAAACCCAGATGTGGTGCTGCAGAGAAACTCGTTGAACTTACACAAGTAATGAAATGAAAATGGCAAAGGGAACGGTTACGAAAGAAACAAAACCAAAATGACTGTATTAAACGCAGTACGCGTGTCTCTGACGCGCCAATAGGCGTCTCACACGTGGTAGGCGTTTAATTGCCTTTTGCATAACGTGCGCCGCCTCTGGCTGTCACGTTCCTCAAACGCTGCGCCAGCATTTATGGCGAGAAAGATAAAGAGATACAGAAGAGCAAACGTATCTCCTCAGAGATCTGGTCAGATTCGGTTGGTTTAAAAATCCTCAAGATTCAAATCGTCCAGGAATCAGGTCGCGCAAACGTATCTCCTCAAAGATTCGAAAATCCACCAGGACTCAGATCGTCACTGCTGATGTGTACCCTATACTGTCACATCAGCTCGCCATTGCGAGCACACCTACCAGGTCGTTACAAACATGACATTTGGCCAGATCGGCTCAACCGTGACAATTCGTTCAACAGTGTAAATTTTTTGCTAAAGTCCCCCCATGATTCAGCTCGTCACACATCGTGACGACAACCACATTTGTCAGGTCGTCACACAGATTGCAGCTCGCACAAATCAAGGGGTTCCCCAGGTCACCCTATTGGACAACACCACTCGTGCGGGCTGATAAAGTGTGGTCAAAAATCTCAAGTCGCACTGAATATGAGGTCGTGTCGCCTCACCTCGTGATCATAGCTAACTGAGCGTCACCTGGTCGCACTTCGGTAGTACTCAAAGGTCAGACCGTCACATGGACGAGCTGATCGGCCGATACATCACACGCAAGCTCGCCTGTTGCGAATCACTTCAGCTCGCCGCCATAACGAACCCACACTAATGTGGCTATGAATACCAGCTCGCCCACACGTTTTCAGGCTTGCGAGCTCGCCTCTTTTTGTTCTACCATTCAGCTCGGCCCTCGTCGAGGTCGGCCGCAAGCTGTCAAACCCGTTTGGAATAGGCCCAGCCCAACACCCAAACAGCACTGGGCTATGGCCCAACAACGTTGGCTCATGGCTACATCCATTCCAGTTCGTCAACCGAACGCTAGGGGGGGAATAATGTTGGAATAGGCCCAGCCCAACACCCAAACAGTACTGGGCTATGCATAACGGGCCTAGGTTACCACCTGTTAGCCCAAGCTGAGGGAACATCAGTACAAACATACCCACGTGACCAAGGCCAAGTGGATCAATGGGAGGCTAACACGTGTAGATGTATGTCAGCACCAAGGGGCTATAAATACCCCCCAACTACCTCAATGAAGGTAATTAATCTCTACGCTTCTCTCTCTGCAATTACTCTTTGAGAGCATCTCTCTCTAGAATATTGAGTGTTGCTGACTTGAGCGTCGGAGTGTTTTCCCCGAGAAAACATCCTCGGGATTTTCAGGTGTAGAAGCAGCGGAGGACTTCAACAGTGTTGGACTGCGAAGCTGCCGAAACAATAACCAAAGAGAAAGTGAAGGCATCACCAAAAATACCCTGTTTACGCATCTTGACATAAATTTTAAGGGCAGTTTCATAGTAACCATGAGAGACATTAGCTCTCAAAATTGAATTCCACAAAACCAAGTTTGAGGTATGCTCAAATGGGCTCGTGTCAAACAACTTCTGGGTATAAAAAAAAGC